CCCCCCCCCCCCCTTTTAAATGTTGTAAGAATTCAGCTTGGTTGCTTTGGTAATGAGCTGTTCTTTTGTGACATTTTACAATGTATTACATCCATTGAAATGGTATTTCCCTGTTAGCCTAGACCTTCTGCATGGAGCTGAGGAAGGAAATGTGGGTTTGATTATTACAATAGCTTATTTTTGACCTGCAGATGGTAGAAGAAAGCGAAGAAAGACTAACAGAAGAGCAGATCGAATCGCTTCTCCAGACAGTCACCAGCATTCTGCCAGGGGATCCGGAAGAGCAGCGGAGGGAATCACCGATGGCTACTGAAGACAAAGGTGACCAAGAATAGAAAGAGTCTAGAGAAACCTGGTCCTGTCTTCGGCAGAAGAAGCTCAGTTAACTTATATTCTGTTATTTGATGCAGTTTAATCTTGTACTGGACATTATGGTACAATACGTTACAATTCTTCTTGCTCAGAAGTGATCAGAGAAACAATTGTTGACAAAACATGGAAAAGGAGGCTCTTGCTTCAGCATTTTGTGAAGAAGGAGAATGATAGTAATTTGGTTAGTAACATAGCAGCCTGAGAAATTATGGGGCACAGAGTCTGAAGCTGAGGCCTTTTTTTCCATCCCCCATATAACAGCTGTAGATTTCAGTAGACTTGCATACAGCTGGCAGTGTTTAAATTATCACAGTAGTACTGTAATTATAATTGCTTTCATATGCTTTTGAATTGCCCAACTGTTTTTCAGAATGCAGTTTACAATATAAAGCCAGTTTTTGGAGCTCTTTGTGAAAGGAGCTGCTTTCAGCCATTGTACATTGGATAATGTACAAGAACTGCTATCTGTTCAGACAAGTTCAAGTCAGCTGATGGAGTCATGGAAAAGAGAGATCTACGTATGAGGTAACTGTTCTCAAGGATACCTGACAATCTATAAGTGATAAAAGATAGGTCTGAATCATCAGCTAAATCAACATATTGCCACTGAGGTGCTTTGAATTAGACCAGTTCACCCCTTGAGCATCTAAACTGTAATGTTAAGCCTCTTAGTCATACAAACAAAAGAACATTTAAAAATGAGATGTGTATTTTCCCTTTGATTTTTTTTCTGCCTTTTCAATATTTAGATATAGATGAGTCACAGTCAGTCTTTCATTCCACTTGAACAGTACTGTCCACCATCGAATAAGAAAATAAGTCAATAGTTAAGTGAAACCTCATCTGGTTTAGGAAAAACAAGGTTCAGTCCTGGCTGAAGCAGAACTTTCAGGAAGATTTCAGGTTAAGTATATAATGTTGAAAGCATTTTTTGATTATGATAAATCTTGTTTTTATACACATCTGTGTGCACACAGTCATATGTTAAATGGCTCTGGTTTTCTACTGTAACTGTGCAATTGTATTGGAATTAGAAATAAAGTTGGAAATACATCCTGGGAATTTTATGACTTATAGGCAAGATATAAGAGCTTGAATCAGAATATCTGACTACAGATATTCTGTACAGAATATCAGAATATCTGACTACAATTGTGTTTACCTTTTATCCTTTTTTTGATCATCTGTCTCAAAATTAAGCTGTTGGATGAAAAGCAGAAGGAACCAGATCACAGGGTTTCTGTAGCCAACAAGAATATTTTAATGGATCTCTTCAGTTGGCTGTTCCATGTTGGGAAGTGCTGATTTTTTCTCATAATGGATTTTTGCCAGCATCCATGCTGTTTTCTGTTGTTTTTATTGTACAAGATACAAGGAACTGCTCACTTCCTATTTTATTTAACCTTTTAGCAAATCAATTCCAGATAGAGCTATGTATTTAGACTCGTACAACTGCAGGTGAGGCTTATTCAGTCTCAAATAAGATGCATAAACCATCGTTTTCCTTAAAAAATGCTGTACAAATAACATTTCTTTAAAAGAACCTGAGATGTCTCAGTCCTCATTACCTTAAAAAATCTTCTTTAAATCTATTATGTGTGTTTTCTGGCTGCATTAGTACAGGCAAGGTGTCACTTTGGCTCTGCAAACAGCCTCGCTTTGTGCCGTTTGCCCTCCCACATGTTCTCCGGGGTCCCAAGGTTCAGGAATAGTTTATGGAAAGCAAATGCCTTGTTTATGTGACAGCATTTTTCCAACGTCCCATATATTACATAAAAGATCTGCCTGTCATCCAGGGCTCTGCTAGTTCTTCCAAAGGCAACCAGACAGTGTGAAAAGAGGCAAAAAGACCTGCTTAGAATAAGGATTTTGTTGCATGTAGCCCTGTGCTGAAGGCACTTAAAAGCTTGGCAAAGAGCTGAGCAGGTTTGGAGGTGCTCAGGGCTGTCGGCCACCTGGGATGTCCCGTCAGTGGCTGCAAACCAGCCGCTGAATCAGGGAGGAGGAGACAAACATCCCTGTTCCGAGGTGGGATATCATAAAAAAAGGGATCCTGGAGCTGGGCCAAGAGGACGCGGATGTCTCCAGGCTGTTAAAGCTCTTTAAAATCCTTTGCAGCAGCCAGGCTGCATCCTGGCCCACCTCTCGCACAGAGGAGCCCGGGGAGCCCTTAAAAACAGAAGTGGCATTTTGTAACCTTCCTGGAGAGAGGAAAAATCCTGTTATCCTGCTTTCCAAAGAGCTGGAAGTGAGGCACGGGGGCTGGCAGGCGTCCAAAGTCCTCGAGAGAGAGAGGACGGCAGCCGTGTTTAGGTTGAAGCCGCGCAAGACGGCGGCAGAGAAAATATTTTCTGTTCCCACAGAAAGCAGCAGCCCGGCCACAAAGTTTTATGGAGCGAAAGGAAAAAGATTGTGCTGAAGAAAGGGAGCACGAGTCAAAGCAGAGCTAAAAGGTATGGAGCAGGGAGCATCTCCTTGAGCTCGCTGCCTAAAGTGACTCCCTCTGTCCTAAGGATCTTTATTAATTTTAGTGCTGATAAAAGGAGCCGTCCTGGCCTTCCCAGGCCTGTGTGGCCGCCCACCAGCTCCTCTGATGCAGGATGTCACTGCGGGGCCTGTGGCGATGGCACCTGAGGGATTGGGGAAACTAGAGGGAACAGAGCAGGAGCATCGGGCCGGCGCTGCTGGCTCCATTCCCTGCAGGGAAACCCAGAGCTTCTCCCTCTGCACGAAGTGTGGATTTGCTCTGGAGCCCTGGTTACCGGCAGCTTGCAACACAGCTTGGAGCCTTCAGGGTTTCCAGGGTCGGTCAGACGGGGGCTGGAGCCAAGGGGCATCCGCAAGCGGAGGGCCACGAAGCCGGCACAGGAGGCCCGTGGGAGCCCCAGGTTAATCATTAAAGTGGCTCCTGCGTCACCCGCCTCTGCAGGCAGATGGATTTTGACGTGATTCAGCCTGAGTTTAACAGGTCGTGGCTGTGAGGCTGCCCTGGGCGCAGGGAGAGAGGAAATGCCACCCACGGGGACAGGCAGACAAGGACCCGCTGCAGGTACGAGCCGGTCAGGAGCCCAAAAACGCCTCCCCTGGCCCCAAAGTGGCTCTCGCGCACAAAGCGCAGCCGCCCCCCGGCTCGAGGACGTGAAGGCAGCGATCCACCCTTGTCACCAAGATGGTGCTACCACCACCTTGAGCAATGCAGCAGCGAGATGCAAACGCGTGCAGGTTCCTGGGGGAATGGTTGGAATGGTGTTTGGAGCGTGGAAAGGGCTGTTTGCGCCTATGCATTTGCAAACAGCAGAGCAGAGGGGACCGGGCGGATGCTGGCGCGAACCCTGGTCCCGCACAGACTCTGCCTTTCTGCCCCTTTTCTCTTCCCTTTGGGAATATCCGCAGCCTCTTGCTCTTACCAGTTTCAAAATGCAGTTAGGGGAGGGCGTCGTGTTGTTACTTCCCTCTGCCATGCTGCTCTGCAGGGCGGCTAGAGGGTTATTGCAGAAAATTGAGTGTTTCTGTGTTGCTCTCAGGTTCAGCTTCAGCACGTTGCTTCCTTGCAGTGTTTTGTCCTTCCCTACTTTTTTTTTTATTATTTTTTATTTTTTTTTTAATTTAACGTGTACCTCGTGGCAGAGGGGGATGTCAGCCAGTGCTGCAAGGAGCAGGAAGGGAGCAAAGAGTAGTGGATTTTGCCATGTGTCTGCCAGCGCTGGAAACATATTGGCTGTCACTGTCCCCATGGAAAAGCTTCTGTAAAAACAAAATGATCAATTGAAGCCAAACAAGCCGAAGTGACACTGCAGGGGCATCGGGCTGCTCCTGTGGCCCCGTGTTTGCGCTTCCCCGGACTTTGCCCTGATGCTTCACCCGTTCCAGTGGTGTCTGCGCTGCCCCGGCTGCAAAACTGCCCTGGGAATAAAAGCCAGCCCCAGGAGCCGGGAGTGCAGCTTGGCAGCAACCCCTGCACTGAGCCCAGGCCCAGGACTTTCCAGATCAGGCAGTGGGAAAAGTCTGTCCACACGGATACCCATGCATGGAGAACCAGGTGGGTCACACGCGTGGGAAACAGGCTCTAGAGTATTTCGCCTTTAAATCATCAGCTCCCACCAGCCCCTTTCCAGGAGCAAATAACATTTATCACCCTCAGCTGCTGCCAGGGAGCAGGGATTTGAGAGGGGATTCCTGGTCTCTTGTGCCCCATAGGAAGCCGTTGCTGTCAGGGGCTTCCGAAGGATCCAGCGGAGCTTTTCCCACTGGGAAAACACTTGCCCATGCCCATCTCGTGTTTTACTAGTGAGGCACGTGGGGTTCGCCAGGATAAAACGTGCGGTGTCAAGAGGGAGCTATGGAGTGTGGTTTCCTCTCTGAACTGTTTAATGTGCAAATGTATATATTTGGCTTTTTCCTCCAACTCGGCATAAATCAACAGCTTAAAGGAAAAAAAAGAAAGTTCTAAAAGCAGCAGCCAGCTCTTTCCTTCCTTGCGAGTGGCTATTGCAGGCATGGTGGCCGTTTCAGTGTGGACGGGGGAGCTCAGTGCCGCCTTCGTCCGTCGATTATCCTGTTTCTGGGATATTTAGTGTCATCGCAGGGATATGCATCTCCTTTCATACCACCGTAGTAATGCCAACAACCCGAATTCAACTTTGATTCCCCTTTCTTTAGGTATCAGTGCTGTCTTTTTGCTGGGGGAACGGGGAAGGATGTGGTTAGCGTGGCCCTCGTCCAGTCTTTGTTCACGGTGACCCGATCCGTGGGTGTGAGTATCCTCTGGGATTAAGTCCTGGCGCCCACAGGGCAAAGTAGCTCCCAGCAGCAGCTTCCCAGATGGAGGCCGAGGCACCTGGCAGGAGCAGACGGAGCTTTCGGGCTCGTGTTTGCAGCCCAGCGGTAGTTGCAGATGTTTCCTCTGCTCCCACATGTGGCTGACACTTGGTTTGGGTCCCCTGCCCCTCTGCTGAGAAACCGGCGTCAGCAGCAGAGCCCCCCAAGCCAGCTCCGTGACAGCGCTGGAGCCCCTGCAGCTTGTGCTGCGGCACCACGTGTCTACCCAGAGGTTTAACTTAACTCTGCCTTTTAAAATGCCCCTGACTTCTGTAGCAACGTGCATGAAATCTGCCCGGACGGGGTAAACAACAGGATTCTAAATTTTAGGTGATTTCTGCGGCAAAAACAATCTCTGAAGACTGGCATAGCCAAAGCGGGCAGCATTCTGCACAGAGTAAGACTTCACCTGTTATTTTTTAAATGATATTATTATTTTTAAGTGATCCATGTGGCTGAAGCCCGTTCTGCTCCCTTCCTCGGAGAGGGTGCGCCGGGAGCGCGGAGGCTGCAGCTCTTGTTCCTGCGCCTCCCCGCCTGCCCCAGCGCACGTGGCTGCCCCGGGAGGCAAACACGGCGCTGCCCTGGCCAGATGTGCGCAGAGGTGCCCAGCGGCGCCACCAGCTGCTCCCGCCTCGCACCTGCCCTGCGCATCTGCCCAGATGTTGGCGCCGCCGCGGCCCCGCCCCAGGTGTTCGCCAGATGTGCGCGCCAGTGGCGCCCCCCCCCCGCCGCCAGGCCCCGCCCCGCAGCTGTCAATCCGCCGCGGCGGCCCAACCGCGTGCGGCGACACATCGAGGCGTGCGGCCAATGAGGGCGCGCTTGTGATTTCCATGGCAGCCGCGGCGGCGCGGCTGAGGGAGGCAGGCGGCGGCGGGCGGGGAAGCGGCTCCGCTCTCGGCGGTGGCGGCGGCCGCTCCCCACGGCGATGCTGCCCGCGGGGGGCCGCGGCGGCGGCGGCAGCAGAGGAGGGGCGGCAGCAGCCCGGCCCTGGCGGCGGCGGCAGGCGAGGCGGCAGCAGCGCAGGTGAGGACTCGGTGCGCGCCGCTCTCCGGAGGCGCTGCGCGGCGGAGCGGCCGTTGGCGGCCGTTAACCGCCGCCCCCCACCGCGGTTAACGGCCGCAGGCGCGGGCCGGGAGCGCGCGGCGTGTGCGGGCGGGACGGAGCAGCCCGGGCGCTGCCTCTGACTGGAAGCGCTGCCGCCTTCGCCCAGTTCGTACCTGTTACTCCCAACTTGGCGCCCACGTTCCTTTCTCTTTTTTTTTTTTTTTTTTTTTTTTTTTTTTGGTGGTAAGTTCGTGGATGTCTAATAGTCCTGAGCAGTTTCCCCCTTTCGGCACCCTCGCGAGTTGTGCGGCATCGAGCTCGGCTGCCGCTCGTGGGTTGTTGCTGCTGATGACTGGTTTTGTTTAAAGGGGAGATGGTCTGTGCGTGCTGCCGGGAAAATTCCATATGCTTACTTGCTCTCCAGGACTGTTTATTATTATTATTATTATTTCTGTATTGCTAAACCAGCGTTGTGTGTCCTTGCGTCGCTGGGAGCATGCTGGCTCTTTGAGTATTCACCATGCAAGCCCCGCATGCACTATGTGTACGTGGGACGTATACATCTCAGTTTGCTTCTCTGTGAACTGGCCGAAGAGGTTTAAAATGGTGCTGATCCTAATGCAGCTTCACGTTTAGTGCTTTGGTGGCATCATTAGCTGGTCCGGGAGTGTCCGACTTTTCTCTTCCTTGTTAGGAGACCTTGTAATTGTTGGTGATCCAGAGAGGCTCGAATGCCTCTGCATTTCCCCATTTTTTTGTTTGTTTTTGATGTAACTAGTGTGATGAAGGATTGTAAAGAAAGACGAGGGATGATGGTGGCTTTTCTGTTCATTTGCTGGATGTTTTCTGGGGAGGATTTTTTGTTTGTTTGGTAGCTGGTAAAAGAAAGAGGTAGGTGCATATGAAAGAGCACAGCAATTGGAAATTGTGTAATGATTGCATGCTTGTGTTTAGTGTCCTCTAGTCTGGAAACTTAGGATCCAGCAGCACTCTCTGGCTGTGAAGGTTAATAGGATCCTTATGTATTTCTCCTCCCCTTTTCCTCTCTCAAAAAAATAACCCCTCTTTTTAAAACAAGTTCTGCTCCAAGGGGATATGTGAACCACATTCCTTGATACAGTTGGGCAAAATTACTGTCATTACAGTTGCCACACTGTTCTGCAGGAACTTGGACTTCCCTTGATCTGCTTGGCTATTCCTGCATCCCAAATGTTTCCCTCCAGATATCTTATTGCTTATATCTCCCAAGAGGTGAAGAGCAAATGCTCACACGATCTTGTGGTCTCCTCTTCTCACCCTTAGCTGATTTGCATGCATCCTCAGCTCAGATAGAGATAATTTAGAGAAAACAGCTTGCTGGTCTTGCCAGGGTGATTGAAGACTGAAGATGGACTTAGGAGTCTTGTCATTTTCATTCCAACTTTGCAGGGTCTTAGGCTTGAGATTTGCTTGTTTGCGCTATACTCTGGCACCCCTCTGGTTCTGTTACATGAATGACATCTGCCCTGTCGGGAAATCATTAAGATGATGGCATAAACACTGCTTTAAATGACTTTTTTTTTTCTTCTGAATGAGCCTGTAACAAGAAGTTTGCCTCGCTTCTGTAAGTGGTACCCTAGAATACTTTGGTTGTGTTTCTCGGTGTTTTGCTATACCATTATCATGTAACTGCCAGCTTCCCTATGCAGTCTTCTTTGTGGTGAACAAATAGGAATGACCAAAGACAAATCAGCTCCTTGAAGGAAAGATTTCTATGGAATTCTTGTAAAACGTTTTCTTAACATCAGTTCAGAAATACAGCAAGGCTGCCACTGTATGCTATTTGGGTGAGCTTAATATGGAACTTTCTGTTAAGAAATCTTTTACTGTGTTTCTAGTGGTTTTCAAAACGCGTTACTTTGAAGAGGTTTCTTTAAAATCTGATGTTTTGGCCATGTATGTCACAAGTGAACTCAGCTCTGCTGTGTTTCTTTGTTAGGCGGGTGACTCGATAGTGTTTGTGCAGAGGGAGGCAGGAAGTCCCGGTGTGTGAGACCCTCCAAAATCCCCTGCCCTGGGCTCTTGGGTGAGCAGTGCTTGGCCAGGAGCTGGGGCCATAGCAGGGCAGTGGTCCTGCAGCTGAAGAACCTGCCTCTTTGTTTTCTTGCTGCTGTAGAGGAAACTTTTCAGGGTAGGTTTCCTCTTTGTTTGAGCAAAATAAAGTGGCTTTTAAAGATTGTGACAAAGGTCCTTCTGTGCAAGGAAACACTTGGGCTTAGGCAGGTAGGTGCATCAGAAGAGCAGATCTGCCGCATCTCTCTCACTGCCCTTGCTTACCTTGCTGCTTAAGAGGCCAAGCAGATGCAGTATTGCTAAACTGAAAGAAAGAAGTTACAGAACTAGCAACATCTGTCACTTCCCTCTGCTTCTGGTGGCAGAAGTATTGCTGTGAGTTAAAGCAAATCTGTACCCTGTCAGTGTCTTCCTTTCCTCCTCTGGCACCTTGAAGTTTTTGCTCTTTAACCTGGCCAATGCAAATATCAGTGTTGCTGTCCTGTTGGTTTAGCCATAGAAAAAGTGTCTTTGGTTGAAAATTAGTAGATAGAGGAGCCTTACTACGCAGGCTCCAAAGCAAAGTTTGAGCTCTCAAGCCTGTCAAGGTTGCTTGTTACTAGAGAGTAATGGATCTTTTTTCCCTAACAAAGAATGTTTGTTTTGCTTGTTTGGTGGTGGGTGGCTTTTAAAGCCCCTAAATTGTTGCAACACAAAATCCAAATGAATAACTTGCCTCTTCACCAAGCAAAAAAGCTTGAATGCTTTTTCAAATGGACTTTAGCAGCCCGAGTCTTGACCTATTGCATGTGCGGGGAGAGAGAGAACTAGTTTGTGCAGAACAAGGAAACAAAAGCAGCCGTTTTGCTTCGCTAGCATCCTTGGGTGGCTGACTCAGAGGCTTGATATGCTGGCAGTAATTCCGTTATATCCAATTCTGCTTAGCTGCACTTTCTTGGTTACTGAAATTTGTAGATCCTAACTCTGATTCTACTTTGAGTTACGCTTACTATTTTCTAGAAACTAGTTCAGTCTCTCACTTGGAACTGTTGCTGCTCACAGCCTCATCTACCCTAGTAGTTTCCTGCAAATTGCAGCTTCTGTTTTTGCTGTTGTCTTTGCATTTAGCAGGAGGGGCCATCTGCTCCTCCCAGGTCGTGATGGGTGAAAAAAACTGTGCATTTCCAAAGCTCTGCTTAAAGCCAGCAAGGGACTGCAGACTATCTCGATGTGACTTGAACTGTTGGCAACTCAGCTGCTGTTAACAGTAGAGTATTAGTGGATGGTAATGGAGTTCCTGAGGTTGACGTTGATGTGATGCAGAACACTTCCTCCCGCAGAGGACGGAGAAAGTGGTGTCTGCGTATTGCAAGCCGCTACAAGAACCCTAACTTCCATGTGTCATGTTTAGTTATATTTAAAGTCCTTTAAGACATATGGTGCAAAGAAGAGCTTGGGAGCTCACACAACTGCTTTGCTGAGAGAGGTGCTGTTTCTATTGGCTCCTCTAACGACTTCCTGATGTCCAAACCTTTGGTCTTGCCAAGCTGTATGGTAGCTGCACGCTCCAGGTATTCCTTTTTGGGGGGAAAGCAGTAGCACGGAAGGTTTTTAGCAATTTGGCTTATAACTCTTCAGGGTTTTTCCACCTTTGGTGTTGCTGAACTTTTCATTTGACACAGCAACTTTGTAAATGTCTGTTGTTGGTGGGTTGGGGTTTTTGTCATGTGGATGTTTCCCTCTGTATGCGAGGGCTCAACACTTTCGGCAGTTCAGGAATCCACTTCAGAGATGGCAAAACCCTCACTTGCCTTGGCCGTGGGAACTGTGCTGAGAGTGACTCATGGCTGTGCCTTACCCAGCCTGGGAGCTGCGTGTTTGGCCTTCAGTCAATGGTCTCTCCTGGATTCTGCTTGCTCTTCAGTTATCCAGACTCTTTTCTTACTGATATTTTAAATAAGTGACCAGAGCAAAACAATAAAACACAGTATTGACTTTTTTTTTTTTCTTTTGTTGTTATTGCTCCCCTTGATGAACAGCTGTAATTGACTTTTGCATTTGGGGAATGTTAGTGATTTCCAGGGATACTTCTGAAAGGTGGAGAAGGCTTTTTTATTTTTTATTTATTTATTTATTTTTTCCTGAGGAAATTAGTTCTTTGGAATTTACTCAAAAATGAACAGTGTAAGGGATTGTATAAAGTGCAAATATTTGCAGGTCTTGTGTGCTCTGCAGCAAAGGATAATTTCTGTTGCATAACTTCTGCCTAAAGAATGTTGACTTTTGAAATAGTATAGATTTACTTAAAAGCATTTAAGCCAATCTATATGCTATTTTATGCTGGTTTTATGAAGAGTAATTTCTTTTTCCTAACTGAAAGCTAAGTGTGCAAGTTAAACCTGATCAGAATTTAGTGCTGTGGACTGATATATATTGTCTGATTGGACTGATATCTATTGACTTATATCAGTCCACACACACACACACACACACACACACTCATATATGTTTTTGTTATAATCCAGCCCTTCTAGGGAACGCTGCAAGTAGAATGAGATTCGTTACTGAGGATAAGGTGATTACAAGAGCAGAATCCCCTCAGTGCAGCAGATCTGCTTGACTGCTCCTGTGAAAAGGAATGTGTTAATCCTTGGATTATGGCTTCAGTTTAATTTTGGTAGCAAAGACTGGAGGCCACACTCAGAGTGCAGCCTGTGACAACTGTTGATTTGGAATAAGCTTTGGCAATACAGAGCTGGCAAGGCACTTGTTTGCACCCTGGCCCTTCGCTGCAGAAGAAATCAGCGTTGCCTTAGCTCTGCCTGCGCGAGGAATTCCCTTTCTGCTTCCTTGAGCTCGTGCATCCGGATGCTGCTCCAGAGAAGAGTTGGGGCACTAAGCGGGAATTCTGCAACCCATCAGTATCTGCAGCTGCCTGGTTGCCCAGACTGACCGAGCACTTCATAGAGCGGGCTGCATGGCACCAAATCTGTGCCAGGTACCAGAGTTGATGGCAAAATCCGCAGGAGCGGCTGCCAGCGGCTGCTGGGCACCGGCACGGCTGGCAGTCCAGTAAGGTGGAAGCCTAGGGGATCTTGCAGGGAATCCCTGAGCTAATGAAAGGATTTGTATCCTTTCAAGGAAGAAAATATTAAGTTGATAATGTTTTGGAGAGGGGATAAGTGGGGATAAGGGAGTTCTTCATTTAGAGATGGAAAAAGTTTGAGGAAGCCAGTTATTTAAAACATTGGCAGTATCTCAGTATTTGGAGCTCTTTGCAGCTAAAACCATGTGATTCGTATCTGTTCTGCAAGTTATTTCAGCCATGAAAAGCAAGATCTTACTGAAAATTGCAATTAAGGAGTTTTAATTTCACTTGAATTTGGAGAGGAAGAATCTTCTCATCTTTCCATCTCATCTTTCTCATCATCCAAAGCTGATGAGCAACAGAATAAGGGTAAAAGAGCTTCCTATACAGTAATTTTTAATGAATGAAAAATGTAGATGTAAGACATAGATTGGTTTTGTGACCAAGAATTCAATACTACTTAAACTGCCAATTGGAAAGTGAAGCGAAATCCATATTATTGATACCTGCTGATAGAGATGAGATCCCATACTTCACTATTCTTTTAACAATTATTTCAAATGGACTAAAGTACGATGTTGTAGGACCAGAAGAAAGATTATACTATAACAAATCAGATTCAAAATATATTTTCAAATTAATTTTATACCACTGTATAAATGGGAAGTTACTAAAACAATAAACTTCATAGATATTGGCTGCTATGAGGCTTTTTGAAGCATCGTTTTCTTACTGTTATTATCTACCGAGTTGTGTTTGCCATTTGGGTGCTTTCTATAAAAGCTTTCTATGGAGTAACTGCATAATCAAATTCTTAACTTTAAAGTACAACATTTGATCTTCGAGGAGGAAGCCTTGCTGTCATACCAGTCAAAATGCACATTCTTCTAGATGAAGTAGAATTGACTAACAGAACTAACCAGCTTTTCAGCAGCACTTAGAAGGAATCCCAACCTTCTTGTTTGAAGGTAGAACATAGTATCTACCTTATGCTGTGCTTATGCTTAAACTGCTTAAGAGGGGCTTTTTTAACTAATGGAATAATAAGTACGTTGATTAACTTCACATTGTCTTTTTTGAAGGAACCATCTTTGGCAGCCATATTTTAGAAAAAGAAATGTGAAAAGAAGGAAATTGATCCCAAATTCCTTAATTTTGTTTTGTCTATCTGCTTTAGATTTTATGGATATTGGGATGGACAAAAACTCCTAAGTTAGTAAGATTGTTCTTTGCCATTGTTTAAGATTTATTTTAGTTTTAATCTTAGTTGACTTTAATCTTGGTTGGTGTTTGTAGTTTTTAATGGCTGAATGTTACTTTAACCAAAGCTTACCTTTAGCTAAAATTTGAAGTTTTCTTAGTGCAAATTGTTTTTCTTCATTGCTTAAAGGCGTTACCCAAATACTGGAAAACTTCAACATTTTTTCTTCTTTGCTTTTGTCTTTGGAAGGTCTTAAACCTCACTTAAGAAGAAAGATGGTCTCATTTTTTCCATTTGTAGAGTCTTGTATAAATGACATCTTTGCTAGATCAAACTATAATATTTGTTATTTGTAGAATTATTTCAGTTATGTTCTTGTAATGTACCTAAGAAATTTAAATTCAAATCGCAATGATAGTTGCAAATGTTGTTATGTATTGTGCTGCTCCTCCTGGAGGAAAACCAAATAACTTCTTATTATGGGAGATTTGTGTTTAGACATTGTGTTTATTAACCAACCAGTCAGATATTTGTTGCTGATTAATCATAGTAGTTGTTGACAAACTTTTAAACTTCTTTTTCTTTTTCTCAACAGACCTTGATTTATTTTGCATTAGCACCCCCATGGCATGTGAACTAGGAGATAATCTGAAATAAAAGGTCTGTGATTTCCAAGTGACAGCCTTTACCAAAATGGTTGGGAAACTGAAGCAGAACTTGCTATTGGCGTGTCTGGTGATCAGCTCCGTGACAGTGTTTTACCTGGGCCAGCACGCCATGGAGTGTCACCACCGGATAGAGGAACGGAGCCAGCCTCTGCGAGTGGAGAGTGTGAGGAGCACGGTCAGAACTGGTTCCAATGGAAGTGCAAATAAAACTTTTGCCTACAACAAAGACATGCCTTTAATATTTATTGGAGGAGTACCTCGCAGTGGCACTACTTTAATGCGGGCCATGCTCGATGCGCATCCGGATATTCGCTGTGGAGAGGAGACGAGGGTGATCCCACGAATTCTGGCCGTTAAGCAGATGTGGGCTAGATCAAGCAAAGAGAAAATCCGACTGGATGAAGCTGGAGTCACGGATGAGGTTCTGGACTCAGCTATGCAAGCGTTTTTATTGGAAATCATTGTGAAACATGGGGAGCCTGCGCCGTATTTGTGTAACAAAGATCCTTTTGCTCTAAAATCCTTAACTTACCTTGCCAGAATTTTCCCCAATGCCAAATTTCTTCTCATGGTACGGGATGGGCGCGCGTCCGTACATTCCATGATATCCAGAAAGGTCACCATAGCTGGGTTTGACCTTAACAGCTACAGGGACTGCTTGACCAAGTGGAATCGTGCTATAGAGACAATGTATAACCAGTGTATGGAGGTTGGTTTTGAAAGGTGTATGCTGGTACATTATGAACAACTTGTACTACATCCTGAGAGATGGATGAGGACTCTCTTAAAGTTTCTCCGCATCCCGTGGAACCAAGCAGTGCTGCACCATGAAGAAATGATTGGAAAAGCAGGGGGCGTTTCTCTCTCAAAGTGAGTATGAGCCTTCTTCTCTTATCTTGCATTGTTCTAAAAGATAAAATAATAAACTTTGCACCTCAGACAGCAGTTGGAACTTTGTTTCGGTTTTAAGCACCTAAGCATGCTGATTTCTGATGAAAACTTAACAGAACATAAGAATGCAAATAGTTAGCTGTAAACCAAACTTGAGTTGTGCCCTCTAAATGCTTGTCCCAATAACAAATATTTAGGTAATGTATTAAATAGTTTCTAATTAATAGTCAATCTCAGTTGAACTTGGACTTCTAGTATCAACCTTTCTTCAGGTGCAGCTTTGCTTTTCCTTGTGCCTGAAAATAAAGCTGTCTTATCTAATATGGCATTATTTGTTTTAGCAAGATCTCTTGTCTGATTTCGGGAACTTAATGATTCTTGTTATTGCAATAATAGCCCTCAAGTTATATTTGCCAAGAGTGTAATCTTCCAGGAAACTTGAGAAATGTGTTCCAGCAAAATAGAAAGCAGAATTGGCAAGCTTTGCTGTTGGTAATAACCTCTTTAAAAGGATAAGCATTTCAAATAAAATAAATGTTGTTTTAGGCAAATCTTTGTATTGTAATGCTGTATTGTAATGCCGTCTGTGCACCTGATCAACCTACTTTCAGAAACCAAAATTTAACTCTGCTTACAAAACCTAGGTAAGTATTGTGAAAGAGGAAGGAAAAAAACCTAGTTTATTCTCCAATTAAACCACTAGTTGATTTGGTTTGTTTGCAACTGTTTACAGCTGGATTTCTGAGATAAGGGAGTTCACTTATTTTTACGGTGGGGGCGAATAGGTGAATGTTTGAATAGCTCTTGTTCCTTATTTACTATGACAAATGCATCTGCCAGACTGTTTAGGTTTCTAAAATAGTTATTTAAAAGCTGTATCCAAACAGCAAGACCTGCCCAGTTAAGTTTCTTTGTTTCTGTGTTCTGAATGTCCGTTGGTGACCAAATGCTTTGGAAGAACAGAGGCAACTTGCCCAGCAATGTGGGCTGGGTAGAGGTGTTTCCAATATTGAATACAGAATGACTTTGCTTCTTAAACCACAGTTTTGAGAAATAAAAATTGAAAATGCTGTTTACTTGACTGCTAGGGAAGTGACCATTTTGGTTACATGAAGTTCTTCAATGAATTAGTGGTTGCCAAATTCTATTAAGTGTTTTAAAAAAAAAAAAAAAAAAAAA